GCCGCGAGGTGGGAGGAGCGCCGTCTTATCTCACCAAGTATTGCAAAAAAATAGCTGATGCCTCCAGCTGGCGATTACCCACTTAATCCTATCCTAAAACATAAATAACTTTTTTTACACACTAAGCTGGATGCCAATTAGCCAGTGCTGCAAAATGCAATAATTTTCCACCCAGTGTTTTGAATTTATATAGTTTCATGTCATTTACTCTGGCTGAAGGAGCATGATTACTCCAGGTGTTTGGCTGAGCCACTGTGGTGGCCTACCTTTCCTACAGATATTTACATCGTAATCCATTACAGAGCCATTCCGAATTAAGCCCCAACTGAGACTGATAGGAGTTATATCCAGTTAAGTATGTATAATGTTGCAGCTTTAATATCAAGTTGGGAAAATACCTGTTTTCCGCATATTCATGGGGCCAGTATCCTCACAAACTGAAGAGACGGTTGATTCTTTCATAACCTAAAATAAAGAAAGTTGGGACACACGGTTAGCACATTAAATTGTCTTCTGAGAACAGATAAATGTACACCTGTGTCTCAGCTCCAACTCCAACAGAACTGAGCACAGATTGGGCAATTAGCGCTACTGCCATTTGATGTCACCAGGAATAACAAATGGGCAACCTTTTGCTGCTTCAATAGCTTCCATAATGATGATTCTGCCATTAAAGAGACATTGGGTTTGGTATATTTTACCTCATTTGCACAAGGTAGCCATAGATACAATACAATTATTCACCTGCCTCACAACTTTATTGCAAGAGTGTTTTTAAAAATCCAAGTAATAAATCTATTTATACTCAGCAAAGGTATAATATAGTGTGTATATATAGTATAATATATAACATATACAATACTATACACACACACAATATTATAAAATCTATTATATAATATGATATATATACAGTATATATTATGCGATATATCCCCTATATTATATTATTCCATATATATGAAATAAATTATATAATACTATATTATCTGATATCTACACTATATTATAAGATATATTATACTATATATATGATATATAATATTATCCGATATATCCCCTATATTATATTTATTATAATATGTAATATATAATGTATAATACTATATAATATAAAGTAAAAGTAAAGGTTTCCCTTTGACTTTAAAGTCTAGTCGTGTCCAACTCTGGGGGATAGTGCTCATCATTTCTAAGCCAAAAAGCAGGCGTTGTCTGTAGACACCTTCAAGGTCATGTGGCTGGCATGACTGCATGGAGCGCTGTTACCTTCCCACAGAAGCAGTACCTATTGATCTACTCACATTTGCTTTATTTATTTATTTATTTATTTATTTATTTGGCTTGTATACCGCTACTCCCAATTTGGCTCGGAGCGGTTTACAGCAGTAGATTAAAACAATACAATTAACTTTAAAATACAATAAAAACAAAAACAGACATAGTCCCGAGTTATTCACCCATCGAAAGATTGTCGGAAGAGAAAGGTTTTACAGGCTTTCCGAAAAGCAAGTAGGTCTCGGATAGATCGGGTTTCAACTGGCAAGGCATTCCATAAATAAGGGGACTGCTAGGTTGGCAGAAGCTGGGGCTATATATTATAAAGCAAAGGAAAAGGTTTCCCCTTGACTTTTAAGTCTAGTCGTGTCCAACTCTGGGAAGTGGTGTTCATCTCCATTTCTAAGCTGAAAAGCTGGCGTTGTCCATAAACCCCTCCAAGGTTATGTGGCCGTCATATACTATATATTATAAAGTATGGAGCGCTGTATGGAGCGCTGTTACCTTCCCTATTGATCTACTCACATTTGCAGGTTTTTGATCTGCTAGGTTAGCAGAAGCTGGGGCTGACAGCGGGAGCTCACCCCACTCCCAGGATTTGAACTGCCAACCTTTTGGTCAGCAAGTTCAGCAGTTCCGTGGTTTAACCCATTGCGCCATAGGGAGTTCCCTATAGAATATACTATATATTAAACTATAATATTATAAGACGCAAAGCCTTATAATATTATAGTATAATGCCTAGTATATACAGTATATTATATACTATACGACATATTATAGTCTCCAGCAAAGGATCAACGCCTTGTCGTGGCGCTGGAGCTTGAGCACCTCAATGATGTCATGAGCGAAACTGTGAAGGGCCACCCAAGACAGGACGGTCGTGGCAGAGAGGTCAGACCAAGCGTGATCCCTGGGGAAGGCAATGGCAAACCACTCCAGTATCCTTGCCAAGAAAACTAAATGGACCAGTACAACCAGAGATATGTGGTATGCCATTGGAAGATGGGACTCCCAGGTCGGAAGATGGCCAAAATGCTACTGGGGAGGAGCAGAGGAGAAGTTCAACTAGCCCCAGATGTGACGCATGTGGCGGGGGGGGGGGGGGGCTCGGGGGGCTTCAGCCCCCCCCCCGAAATTCTCATGGTGGTTCACGAAAAGGCCTTACTGGTGCATTATTTAAACTGTTATGTTTATTCATATCATGATCTGATCACCATACTCAATATATCCCATATGCATGGGGGTATTGGGGTAATGATACAAAAGGTTTGCTAGGCTAGACCCTCTTTCACTCAGACTCAGCCCCCCCCCAAAACTCAGCCCCCCCCCGAAACCCCCCCCCTGAAAATTTTTTAGCCCCCCCCCCCGAAACAAAATCCTGGCTACGGGCCTGCTGGCCATACTAGCTATAATGATGGGACTTACTTTCACTGTGTGTCTGTGTGCCTTCAAGTTGACTTCTTGTGATTGGGGGAAAAAATGCACATATGCAGGGCTTGAAACAAGGCTGGGGTAAAATTGCTGGAAGAAAAATTAACAACCTTAGATATGCAGATGATACCACTTGATGGCCGAAAGCGAGGAGGAGCTGAGGAGCCTTCTAATCAAGGTGAAAGAAGAAAGCGCAAAAGCTGGGTTGCAGCTAAACATAAAAAAAACCAAGATTATGGCAACAAGAATGATTGACAACTGGAAAATAGAGGGAGAAAATGTGGAGGCCGTGACAGACTTTGTATTTCTAGGTGCAAAGATTACTGCAGATGCAGACTGTGGCCAGGAAATCAGAAGACGCTTCCTTCTTGGGAGGAGAGCAATGTCCAATCTCGATAAAATAGTGAAGAGTAGAGACATCAGACTGGCAACAAAGATCCGCCTAATCAAAGCCATGGTATTCCCTGTAGTCACCTACGGATGTGAGAGCTGGACCTTAGGGAACGCTGAGCGAAGGAAGATCGATGCTTTTGAACTGTGGTGTTGGAGGAAAGTTCTGAGAGTGCCTTGGACTGCGAGAAGATCCAACCAGTCCATCCTCCAGGAAATAAAGCCCGGACTGCTCATTGGAGGGAAGGATACTAGAGACAAAGTTGAAGTACTTTGGCCACATCATGAGGAGACAGGAAAGCCTAGAGAAGACAATTATGCTGGGGAAAGTGGAAGGCAAAAGGAAGAGGGGCCGACCAAGGGCAAGATGGATGGATGGCATCCTTGAAGTAACTGGACTGACCTTGAAGGAGCTGGGGGTGGTGACGGCCGACAGGGAGCTCTGGCGTGGGCTGGTCCATGAGGTCACGAAGAGTCGGAGACGACTGAACAATAACATATGTAATAAATTATATAATACTATATTATCTGATATCTACACTTTATTATAAGATATATTATGCTATATATAATATGCAATATGATATATATTATACTATATATATATATTATATTATATTTATTATAATATGTAAAATATATTGTATAATACTATATATTATAAAGCAAAGGAAAAGGTTTCCCCTTGACTTTTAAGTCTAGTCGTGTCCGACTCTGGAGGTTGGTGCTAATCTCCATTTCTAAACCGGAGAGCTGGCGTTGTCCATAGACACCTCCAAAGTCATGTGGCTGGCATGACTGCATGGAGCAACGTTACCTTCCTGCAGAAGGTATTGATCTACTCACATTTGTATGGTTTTGAACTGCTAGGTTGGCAGAAGCTTGGGATAACAGCGGGAGCTCACCCTGCTCCCTGGATTCAAACCTGTGACCTTTTGGTCAGCAAGTTCAGCAGCTCAGCAGTTTAAACCACTGTGCCACCAGCTCAGAGGCAACACCGCTGGCTCCCTATAGAGTATACTATATATTATATACTATATATTATATTATACTATACTATAATAAGACACAAACTTATAATATTATAGTATAATGCATAGTATATACAGTATACTATATATTATACTATAACATTATGAGACTTTGTGTCTTATATTATAGAATATATATAGTATAATTATATAATATATAATATATAGTGTGAGTTTGTTTGTCTGTATGCATGTATGTATGTATATATATATTCCTTTCCCTTCTTTATTGTTCCTTCCATTCTGCCTTTCTTCTTTCTTTCTTTCCTTTATATCATTTATTTCCATCTTTTCTACTTTTCTCCTTCTGGCTTTACTTTCTTTTCCATTATTCCTTCCTTCTTTGCCTTTCTTTGCTCCTTCCTTGTATCTTCCTTCCATTCTGACTTTCTCCTTCCTTATTTCATTCCTTTTCTTCCTTCCTTCCTTCATTTTTCTTTTTTTTTCCCCCTTCCCTTCTTTATTGTACCTTCCTCCCTCCTCAAAGTGGATCTGTCATCCATATACTCTAGTTAATTCAGATTTTTTTAGGACTTCAACTCCCAGAAGCCTCATTCAGCAAGACCAACAGTGAGGAATTCTGGGAAATGAAGTCTTAATTTCCTGAAGTGAGTTTACAGTATGGTGACGTAATATTTCCTAGCCACGCCCCTTTCCCCTTCTTAGACCCGCCCACATTCTGACGGCTTCTTCTCCTTTTTTTTCTCCTGGTCCCGCCCCTTTCCTTCCCTTGAAAGGCTCTCTGTCCAATCCGGTTGCGCGCTTCCAGCCTCGCGCCTCTGTCGTCATGCAACAGGCCAGCGTCGCGCGACTCGCACGCTCGCTCGCACTCCTCCCCCCTCCTTTGTTCCTGCCCAGCCATTGGTCGAGGCCGTTGTGGGCGGGGCGCTTGCCAGAGCCACGCCCCCTCGTCCTAGTTACCTGCGTCAAAGGCTGAGTACCTGCCTGGTTTTTGGGTCAGGAGGGTGACACACCTGTGCTCAGGTAAGGAGGCGGTTTAGTACCCATCAGGGTAGAAAGAGGGAAGCAAAGACATTTTTAAAAAATAATTATATTCATATAATAATAATAATAATAATAAATGATACAACAATAATAGTATAATAGTAATATAATTTTAATATGTAATATTGTTTAATATTATATTATTTTATCTATATACTAGCCGTTGCTGTGGCCCAGTCTGTGTATATGTGTTTTGTGCATGTATATATGTGTTTATGTGTGTGTATATATTTCTGTATATATTTATTTATTTGCTTACTTACCTTACTTATATACCGCTGTTCTCAGCCCGAAGGCGACTCACAGCGGTTCACAACAAATACGGACAGCAAAAATTCAGTGCTACAGTATAGAAACAGTTAACAACCTAACACATTACACAATTAATAAACAGTTACTACAATACCCATTCACTGTCGTCTCGTCATCAAAAACATGTTCCAGATTCGTCATCCATTGTTCCATTCCAGTGTTCATTAACCAATCATTGCACTAATTATTGGAACGCCTGCTCAAACAGCCAGGTCTTCACCTTTTTGTGGAATACCATTAGAGATGGTGCTAGTGTAATGTCCGTAGAAAGGGCGTTCCACAGCCGAGGAGCCACCACCGAGAAGGCCCTATCTCTCGTCCCCGCCAGCCGAGCTTGAGAAGCAGGCGGGATCGAGAGCAGGGCCTCCCCGGAAGATCTCAAAGTCCTGGTGGGTTCATAGGCAGAGATGCGGTCGGATAGGTAGCTTGGGCCGGAACCGTTTAGGGCTTTAAAGGCCAACGCCTTGTGTGTTTATATGTGTACATGCATATTTTGTATATGTGTGTGCTTGTCTATATGAATATTTGTGTGTATTTATGTGTATATGTTTATGTGTGTTTATATGTGTACATGCATATTTTGTGTATGTGTGTGCTTGTCTATATGAATATTTGTGTGTATTTATGTGTATATGTATTTGTATGTTTATATGTGTACATGCATATTTTGTATATGTGTGTTCTTGTCTATATAAATATTTGTGTATTTATGTGTATATGTATTTCTGTGTTTATATGTGTACATGCATATTGTGTATATGTGTGCACTTCTCTATATGAATATTTGTGTGTAAGTATGTGTATATGGTTATGTGTTTGTCTGTGTATATGTATGTATATGTATATTTGTGTATGCATACGTATATGTATATATGTGCATATGAATGTATATGTTATTGTATATGTGTATAATTGTGTGTGTTTGTGCATATATATACATGTGTGCATGAATGTGTGCATGTGTATATGAGTGTATTTGTATATGTATATATGGTGTATTTTGGGGGGTTTTAAGTCTGGGGTTTTGTGTGTGTGTGGTTTTAGGGATGATGGACACTCGTTGGACTGTTAGGTGTATTGTGTCCAAATTTCGTGTCAGTTCATCCATTGGTTTTTGAGTTATGTTAATCCCACAAATAAACATTACATTTTTATTTATATAGACTAGCCGTCCCCTGCCACACGTTGCTGTGGCCCACATGGAGGTTCTGCGTGGAGGTTTGGCCCAATTCTATCGTTGGTGGGGTTCAGAATGCTCTGTGATTTTAGGTGAACTATAAATCCCAGCAACTACAACTCCCAAATGTCAAGATTCTATTTCCCCCAAACTCCACCAGTGTTCACATTTGGGCATATTGAGTATTCGTGTAGAGTTTGGTCCAGATCCATCATTGTTTTAGTCCGCACTGCTCTCTGAATGTACGTGAACTACAACTCCAAAACCAAAGGACACTGCCCACCAAACCCTTTCAGTATTTTCTGTTGGTCGTGGGAGTTCTGTGTGGGAAGCTTGACCCAATTTCTATCATTGGTGGGGTTCAGAATGCTCTTTGATTGTTGAACTATAAATCCCAGCAACTACAACTCCCAAATGACAAAATCAATTTTTCTGAGTGAAGGACATACATTGGGTTGTTAGGTGTCTTGTGTCCAAATTTGGTGTCAATTCGTCCAGTGGTTTTTGAGTTCTGTTAATCCCACAAATGAACATTACATTTTTATTTATATAGACGAGCTATAGATAAATGTCCTGTTCGTTTTGAGTGACATCATTACTCAAAAACCACTGGACGAATTGACACCAAATTTGGCCACAAGATACCTACTAACCCAAGGAGTGACCATCACTCAAAAAATTGATTTTGTCATTTGGGAGTTGTAGTTGCTGGGATTTACAGTACTATAATACTAATATTGTGCTGAACTCCACCAACGATGGAATTGAACCAAACTTGCCACACAGGACTCCCACGACCAACAGAAAATACTAGAAGGCGTTGGTGGGCATTGACCTTGAGTTTTGGAGTTGTAGTTCACCTACATCCAGAGAGAACTGTGGACTCAAACAATGATGGATCTGGACCAAACTTGGCACGAAGACTCAATATGTCCAAAAGTGAACACTGGTGGGAGTTTGGGGAAAATAGACCTTGACATTTGGGAGTTGACTTTGAGTTTGGGAGTTGTAGTTCATCTACATCCAAAGAGCACTGTGGGCTCAAACAATGATGGGTCTGGACCAAACTTAGCAGGGATACTCAATAGGCCGAAATATGAACACAGATAGGGTTTGGAGGAAATAGACATTGACATTTGGGAGTTGTAGTTACTGGGATTTATAGTTCACCTACAATCAAAGAGCATTCTGAACCCCACCAACGACAGAATTGGGGCAAACTTCCCACACAGAACCATCATGACCAACAGAAAATACTGTGTTTTCTGGTGGTCTTTGGTGACCCTTCTGACACCCCCTGGCGACCCCCCCCCCCCCCCCGGGGTCCTGACCCCCAGGTTGAGAAGGGCTGCCTTAGGGCCATCCAGTCCAACTCCTTTCATGTAAGCCGCCCCGAGTCCCCGTTGGGGAGATGGTAGTGGGGTATAAATAAAGATTGTTGTTGTTATTATTATTATTATCAGGGCAAGAAAACATAAAGCCCTCCAGACAAAGAGCCATTCAGCCATAGATATATATAGAGATGTATATTATTCTCACATACACACATATATATGTATTCTTGTGCCTGCTTTGTGGATTGATCAATCATGTCTCCTTCCTTCCTTCCTTCCTTGACATCTTGTAGGTGCAGCGATGGACCTCGTCCTGTCCTGGGCTGACAGCTTGGTTTTGACGCCATATGTTTTCCCTACAACGTGGACAGAAGATGAACCCTTTCGGCAGCTTCTCAGCCTCTTTGTCATCACAAACCTCGGGGCATTGGTCATTTATCTGCTCTTTGGCAGCCTGAGCTACTATTTCATATTTGATCATGAGCTCAAGAAACACCCACAGTTCCTGGAGGTAAGCTGGGTAGCGCATGAGAGTGATCTCTTTCTTTGATTTCTCCACTCAGCTCAGTCTGAAGAATGGTGTTAAGGAGAAAAGAAATGCAACACTGGTTAATTCTGGTCTTCTGGTATCTTGGAACTCAAAGAGATCATTTTTTATTCTTTGACTTCCAATTATTTCTTACTTATGGCCACCCTAAGGTGAACCCTTGGCAGTTTTCCTGGTGAGGTTTGTTCAGAGGAGACTTTCAAGAAAAATTTGAAAACTTGACTCTTCCAATGTGCCTTTGGAGAGTGACTATTAACTTTTTCATGTTGTTTCTCCCATAATGTTGTCTTCACATTGCACTTCCCCCTACCTTTCGGAAGGCCCATCTGCACTGTGCTGTACGTTGGACCTGCCCTTTGTGTTTAATTTTTCACTTTGTTATTTTGCACTATTTTATTTTGCTCTTATGTTTTACTTATTTTGTTGTGACATTCTTTTGTGTCATTCTGTATTTATTTTATTGTAATTCATTGTTGGACTAGGCCTCATGTAAGCCACCCTGAATCCCCATTGGGGAGATGGTGGCGGGGTATAAATAAAGATTATTATTATTTGAAACACAACAAGACGAGTCCACAGCAGACACTCTGCTGGCTGTTGAATTGGATCACACGTCGGACACTTCCCAAGTGTCTAGGACTGTGTGATGTATCGCCAGCTGGTAAACTGGCTGGGATTTCTTGGAGTTGTAGGCCAAAACACCTGGATACCCACAGTTTGAGAACCACTGCTCTAGATCCTCCAGTGGTCAATTTCCACCAGAAGTTGAGTGGACTGCCTGGGATTTCTGGGAGTTGTAGGCCAAAACATCTATGTGCCAAGATTGGTCTTGATCGGTCATTGGATGAGGGTCACAGTGGTTTCAGTAAGTGAGTGAAGGTACTGCAAATCCCATCATCCATGGTCCACCCCCCCCCCCCTTAGAACTGGATCAGGATGTAGAGTGGATCATGGGGGCTCTGTGTGCCAAGTTTGGGCCTGGTCTGCGATTTGTAGGGGCTGAAGTGTTCTGTGGGAAGGGAATCTTGTGAAGGTACTGCAAACCCCATCATTTGTGGCCCATCCTGCCCTGAACCGCACCAGGTTTTAAAGTGGGCCATTGGGCCTCTGTGTGCCAAGTTTGGTCCTGATTCGTCATTGGTGTGGGCCACAGTGCTCTAAGGTAGTGAGTTAAAGTACTGCAAGTCCCGTCATCCATCATCCATTCTCCCTCAAACTGCACCAGGATGTAGTGTGGGTCTTGGCGGGGGGTCTGTGTGCCAAGTTTGGTCTTGTTCTGTCATTGTTGGGGGCCACAAGGTGTTTTGGACTTCAACTCCCACCATTCCTGAAAGCCTCAGACTCTTACCTTTTCCCTCTCAGCCATTTCAGAATGTTAGAATGTTGAGGCTGGCCAATCAGAAACCATATGCAAATTATATCACAGTGTCCTAGAATGGCACTCCAAATTTCAGACCACTGATAGTGAAGCAGAAGCTATTGGCTTGATTTATGTATTGTTTGTATTTTATGTTGATATCTTTTGACTTTGTTATTCTCTGCTTCAAGCCATTAGGAGAGGCAGGTAACAAATAAGATGTGTTGCTGCTGTTGTTGTTGAAGTTGAAGTCCTGGTGGAATTGTATCAGGGAAATGTCTCCTGATAATAAAGGTGTTATTGCTGAATCTCAGATATAGGAAAGGCTTGATTTTGAAAATAAGACCAGGTGATAAATGGATTGGATTATTAGAATATGCACATACAAAAGGATCCCATATAAAATCAAACCATAGGTAAATTTAGCTCAGTATTGGCCTCTGGGAAGAGTCTCCCTAATGTTGCTGTGTCTGAGAACTTTTAAAGCTTTGAAATCCACGACTTGAAATTCATTCAGGTCTGCAGCTAAAAAAGCCAATGGGATTTTGGCCTTCATCAATAGGTATAGCGTCTAGATCCAGGGAAGTCATGCTCCCCATGCTCTATTCTGTCTTGGTTAGACCACACCTGGAATACTGTGTCCAATTCTGGGCACCACAATTGAAGAGAGATATTGACAAGCTGGAATGTGTCCAGAGGAGGGCGACTAAAATGATCAAGGGTTTGGAGAACAAGCCCTAGGAGGAGCAGCTTAAAGAGCTGGGCATGTTTCGTCTGCAGAAGAGAAGGCTGAGAGGAGGCATAATGAGAGCCATGTATAAATATGTGTATAAAGTCATAGGGAGGAAGAAAGCAGGATTGTTTTCTGCTGCCCTGAAGACTAGGATGCAATGGAGCAATGGCTTCAAACTACAGGAAAGGATATTCCACCTGAAGCGTAGGAAGAACTTTCTGACTGTGAGAGCTGTTCAGCAGTGGAACTCTCTGCCCCAGAGTGTGGTGGAGGGTCCTTCTATGGAGGCTTTTAAACAGAGGGTGGATGACCATCTGTTGGGGGTGCTTTGAATGCGATTTTCCTCCTTCTTGGCAGGAGGTTGGATGGCCCATGAGGTCTCTTCCAACCATATGATTCTAGGTTGCATGCAAGCAGGAACTTTGGTTCTTAGTGATCTCTGAGGATTGAACTTGGGACCTTTTTATTATTTGCACACAAACTTCACCTTCGAACTCTTATTAACATGGGACTATCAGGGATGGAACTTTTGAACTGCAAACATATCGACTTTAACAGTGAAACATTGATCTCTCTAGTTTAGTGATTCCCAAACCTTAGTCCTTTGGATGTTTGAGGGCACATCCAGACAGCCCCTTAAAAGTGGGAGCTCCCGCGTTTTCATGTGGGACGTCCAAACGATGCCCTATGTAAAAGCGAATGCATTTGGCACAAAGCAGAGATTCCCTTTTGCAGAGAAGGCTAAAGACCTTGGAAAAGTACAACTCCCATGAATCCATATCCTTGAGCCATGGCAGTTAAAGCGGCATCACACTGCATCTGTTCTACAGTGTAGCTCAGGGATGGACAAACTTCGGTCCCCCAGGAAATCCTGCTTTGTGCCAAATCAATTTGTCAGCTGGAAAGACCAGGATTATGTCCTTCCAGCTGTCTCAGGTTTCTTGAGCTTCTGGAGTCCAAGAAACCCAAAACAGCCTCCACCCCCTTCCAAAACCCTGCTGAAAAGCATTAAAAAAGAAAATAACTTACCTGGCCGGCATTTTCCTGCTGCTCTCCTGGTGCCTATAAACGGCGTGCCAGGAGAAAGGAGGGGAGGAAAATTGCTCCTCTGCCCCCCCCTCCCCTTTTCTCCTGGCGCGTCATTTCTATATGCCAGAAGTGCTCCAGTAGCAGGGAAATGGTGGCCAGGTAAGTTATTTTCTTTTTTAAGACACTTTTCTGGGGAGGGGGGAGGTTGTGACCCAGGGGCCTACCGGAAAACCCGGCAGGGCATCTGGACAACCCCACCCCCTAGAAAAGCATGCACTTTCTGGGGCATGTGCAGACTTCAACCCAGGTGCAATCGCCTATTTAAAAACCTGATTGCTCCTGGGTTAAAGGGCTGTGTGGAACCGCCCTGGGACTTCAGCTCCTAAAATTGCTGGGAGTTGGTCCCAATTTTAGGAGCTACTGCCCTAGTTAAGAAAATTCTTTTTCATGAATTTCTGGTAACTTTGTGAGTTAAGATGATGATTTTTTATTTCGTATCAAAAGCATCGCATAAATTAGTATAAAACTGATAAAAAATAGAAGGTGTGCAGGCGGCTAAATGTCTTTTGAACAAAAATGGGCAACAGCAATGGCATTGTTGTAACCTCGAACAATTCTTCTTCTGTACATGAGGCAGGACATAACGGACAACCATACACATACGGAGTTATCTGTTCTGCTCCACAGTCACACAAGGTGTGGGATTCTTTTAGGCAGTGCCATTTTGCCAGGCTGTCTTTTGATCTGCCCACTCCACTTCTGAGTCTGTTCAGGGACTTCCAAGTTGCCCATTCTTGGTTTGCCCCTGGAGGAAGACCCTCTCATGTGAAGGGCCATCCAGTTGGGGTTTTCTGGTCTAGCTGCCCAGAGAGATACCCTTGCTGTTGCTGGGGGGACGGCAAGAGGAGTGGTAGTTCTCATAAAGCTTTTCGTTGCTTTGAGTCTACTGGGAGGAGGCTGGTAGCCATGTAGTGGGTGACTTTCACAGTGCTCCACTTTATTTCTCTCACATTTACCAGCAACTTCCCATCGCACATCAGGAGGGACCATGCCAACTAGCTTGTAGAGTTTATCAACAGATGTAGGTTTGAGACATCCTGTGATTATTCATGTTTCATTCAGTGCTATGTTCACTTACTTTGCATGGGCAGACCTATGCCAAACAGGGCAGGAATACTCGGCAGTTGAGTAAGACAAGGCTAGGGCTGATGTTCTTATTAATTTTGGGTCTGCACCTTGGAAGGGAAATTCACTCCCAGAAGAGTTATTATCATGGGGAAAGGTGTTTCCACTGAAGCTTCATCTCCAATCCTTGTTCTCACAACAAGCCACATTTTCCAAAACCCAATTCTTGCAGGGACAGAAAGTAAGATGAAATCTTATGCACGTACACACACATATATATACACATAAAAATGTACCTGTTCTGACTACCATACACATTCAACTTCAGAACAGACCTACAGAACCTATCTTGGGGACTGCTTGTACTTAAAAAAAAAAAAACACTTTCAAGATAGGATCGTGTACTAAGCAAAACAGGACTACGGACTGAAGAGGTGTCATGATGTAGCCCTTATCTTAAGCACAGTATCTGATTTCTGTGTTGGGATAATATTACGTCTCGTGCTGGCAGTGTAGTCGGAAGACAACTGAGATAATACCCACTTTGAACACGTGTATTTGCTGCATAATGAAGTGTTTGCCTTTGCGTCTAGAACCAGGTGCAGCGGGAGATAAAGCACACGCTCAAATCCTTGCCGTGGATCAGCATCCCCACTGTTGCCATCTTCTTCGCTGAAGTTAGAGGCTACAGCAAACTCTACGATAACATTGAAGACTCTCCGTATGGTAAGGAAATTGCTGGTATATGGCTTGGTCTTCCTTTCGAATGAATAACAACCTGTTGCCTTGTAAATCTGCTCACACTCTGAATGGTTTCCTTTCCCATTTCCTTAGGTTGGTTTGGTGTTATCTCCAGCATGCTGTCCTTTCTCTTCTTCACCGATATGTGCATTTATTGGATTCATCGGTTCCTCCATCACAAATTTTTCTATAAGGTATGCATTAGGAGGTATTCTATAAGGTATGCTGACTGAACGGTTGCAGGTTTGGGGAGCGGTGTGAGCTCCTGCTGTCAGCCCCAGCTTCTGCCAACCTAGCACTTCGAAAACATGCAAATGTGAGTAGATCAATAGGTACCGCTCCGGCAGGAAGGTAATGGCGCTGCATGCAGTCATGCTGGCCACATGACTATGGAGGTGTCTACGGACAACGCCGGTTCTTCGGCTTAGAAATGGAGATGAGCACCACCCCTCCAGAGTCAGGCATGACTGGACTCAATGTCAAGGGAAAACCTTTACCTTTACCTATGCAAAAACTGAGTATCCCTTATATGAAATACTTGGGGCCAGAACTGTTGTATTTTGGAATATTTGGGAATTCCAGATAAGGGATACTTAGCCTCTAAGAAGTGAAGAATTTGGTGGAAATTTGTCACTATGATTCTGAGTTTTATGTCTATATTTACATAGCTAGCTTTATGCTGTACATCTAACTTGTGAGCTAAGAAACGCCTTGGGTTTGTTCTGCATGACTAACTAGAAGCCTTTTAGTTAAAGGACTAAAGTAAGAACCAGTTACCCATTACTGCATTGAACCTAGAATAAATCTAAGACTGCATATATCAAACTCAAGGCCCAAGGACCAAATCTGCCCATTCATTTTTGGTGGCCTTTCAGATGCTGGACCACAACTCCTATATTCCACATTGTTCGACAACATGACTAGAGCTAATGGGAGTTGTGATATAGGAACATCCGGAAGACTACAGCTTATTCCATTTAGTCAGGAGAGTAACTAGATGCAAAGCTTTTTATTCAGGCAGGTTTTTAAAGATGAAGGTTGTTAAAATCATCAGGGGCTGCTGTCATTTTATATACTTTTAATGATGTTAAATAATATTTTAATACTTGTATATTTGTATATTTTGAGTTGTATTGTAATGCTTTTAGTTGTGAGCTACTTTGAGTCTGCGTATGGAGAGAAAAAGCAGGATATAAATAAACATAATAAGAAAAATAATAATAAAGCTTGTGTATGTGGTACCTGACTTCAACCTTTCCCCAACCTCAAGTGCTGTTGGGTTGCAATTCCCATCATCCTCAGTCCACACGGTGGATAATCAAAAAGTGATGGGCATTTTCATTCAATACTACCCTGGGGACTCTAATTTGGTAAAAACTAAAGAGCCCCGACCACTCTGTAAAACAAATATATACTGTATATATTTGAGTATAAGCCAACCCAAATATAAGCTGAGGCACCTAATTTCGCCACAAAAAACTGGAAAAATGTATTACGCTGAGTATAAGCCAAGGGTGGGAAATGCAGCAGCTACTGGTAAATTTCAAAATATAAATAGATGCCAATAAAATGACATTAATTGAGGCATCAGTAGGTTAACTGTTTTTGAATATTTACATAAAACTGTAATTTAAGATAAGACTGTCCAACTCTGATTAAACCATTATTCTAACCTTCTTCAATGTAAATGTGCTTACGTGTCCTTCCATTAATAATAATAGTGTAAAATAATACATGTAATAATTACAATAATAATAATAAAGTAAAATGACAAATGTAATAATAAGAATCAATAGAGTAAAATAATGTAAATATAATAATAACAACAACAACAATAATAATAGAGTAAAATAATAAATCTATATAAATAAAAATGTAGTGTTCATTTGTGGGATTAACATAACTCAAAAACCACTGGACGAATTGACACCAAATTTGGACACAATACATGTATCAGGCCAACAAGTGACCGTCACTCATAAAAACACTGAACACAACAGAAGAGACTTAAAAAGCTTATGTGCCAAACCACACATACACACACACACACACACACACACACACACACACACACACACACACACATATATATATATATATATATATATATATATATATATATATATGCAAACACACATATATACACAAATATACACACACATATACACAGACTGGGCCACAGCAACACATAGCAGGGGACAGCTAGTGTAATAATAAAAATAGAGTAAAATAATGGAAATGTAATAATAACAATTATAGAGTAAAATAATAAATGTGATAATAACAATAATAATAAACTAAAATAATAAATGTAATAAATAATAGAGCAAAATAATAAATATAATAATAGAGTAAAATAATAAATGTAATAAATAGAGTAAAATAATAAATGTAATAAAATAATAATAATAAAATAAATGCAATAATAATAACAACAACAGAGTAAAATAATAAATAACTTTGAGTCAAGTATTAGCAGAGGGAGCTTTTTCAGCCTAAAAAATTGCTGAAAAACTTGGCTTATACTCGAGTGTATATGGTATTTATGGATTCTCTGGCCATAGCTTCAGTGGCCCTTGGAAAGCAACCATAAGGCTGCTGTGACCCTTAATGAAACTGAGCTTGACAGCCCTTCCTTAACCTCTTTTCTTTTCTCATAGCGTTTCCACAAACCTCATCACGCTTGGAAGGTACCAACTCCCTTCGCCAGCCACGCTTTCCACCCTGTCGATGGCTTCCTCCAGAGCACCCCGTACCACATCTACCCCTTCTTCTTCCCTCTGCACAAAGTGACCTACTTGGGCCTCTACATCTTTGTCAACATTTGGACCATCTCCATCCACGATGGCAACTATCGCGTCCCGTCCTCACTGAAGGAGGTGATCAACGGCTCAGCCCACCACACCGACCACCACTTGTATTTTGATTACAACTACGGCCAGTATTTTACACTCTGGGACCGGATTGGAGGCTCGTACAAAAACCCTTCCGCCTTTGAGGGGAAAGGGCCCCTCGATGCCTTGAAAAAGCTGAAAGAGAGCAACTCAAACCATTTGAGGGAGGAGAAGATTGCAGGAGATATAAGTAAAGATAAATAGCCTCCTCTTCGAAGGCAGAATGGCATATGAATAGCATTCCCCTCTCCTTAGAGCATCACCTGATGATGAAACGAAGATAATCTCAATTGAGGACCATGCTTGGAGAAACAGAAGCAGCTGACTTCGCTTTTGAGAATGACTATATCTTGGGTGGTGTGTTAATTTCAACAGTGTTCCTTGCTTGATACATTGGAAGTGAAACTTGACGTCATCCCCTTACCATTGGAATGAAATTGCGTAATGCTAATGTCCCGATCCACTGTATAATGCCACTGCTGGGACTCCATGCTTAACAGTAGTTCGCTTATAATTCCAGCTAAAGTTACTGTTGTGCAGTTAAGTGGACTAAACAAAGAGGAAGGTCGGATGATAGAACTGAAGCCAAATGTTGTGATTCCTCAATTCGTATATTATGGATCAACTGAAGCACAGCTTGTTGCCTTTATTGGATGGGTTGCCCGTTTTCTGAATGCATAGTTCTATTAAGGAGTAATAGTTTTATGCAGGGCACAGTATCTCCAGACTGATATTGTATGTATTTTTAATTGTTAGGTGACTATTGTGCCACCAGTGTGTTGGAATGCACACTTGTTGGGTATTTTAATACCCCTTGCTCAAGAGTGGAAATACGGAAGTAAAGTATAGGAAACATAGTTGCTTCCATAATATGTTCAGGATCTTGCTGGAAGTTATGGTGTTGCCTTTTGACATTTGTTTATTTCAGCCAAGGCAGACTAACCAAGGATTATAAGAGAGTTTTGCGACCCAAAACAGCCAGTTTTCTGTGGGTCGTACTTCACAACATAACACTTTTGAGCTCTGTTTGAGTTGTTGTTGTTGATTTGAGTTAAGAAAAACCTAAGTGAGGGTCTCTTTGTAGCAGTGGTTCCCAATCTGTAGCCCGTGGGCCACCAGTGATCTGCAAGAACGAAAATATGGTCCACGGCCTCACCATTACTATACTGTTGCCTCGAAACCATGCGGTAACGAGAGTGACTTGTCAGTGGCATCGGCCGCACAGCAAGGCAGGAAACAGATCGATCACAGCCACTTTAGGCTATAAACTGCTTTATTTTACAACTATATACATTAGAAGCTACTTAATACTCAGCACATCGTAAACTTGCTTCCTTCCCGACCGATAGTAACATTGCGACCACACGAACAGTCTGTTATCAGTACTAGTCCACACCTCTTGCATTCCAGAGTGACGTATGATGCACGATGCACAACGCTGCATCCATTTGCTCTATACACTTGATTTATGACCTCTCTAGAAATGCCGTTCCCTCCATGGTTCTGTTAACTCTTTCCACACAGGAATACACTCGGCAAAAGCTGCTGCATTTCAAACATACATACATACTTGCAAACATCTCCAACATGACTCATCTCACAAAACCCTCTTGTAGTGCCGAGGCAACAGGTATGTGGGTTGACTACCCACAAAAGATTACTACTACCACATCAGCTCTAGATTATTAAATATGGTTATTATGGGCAAGCAGATGGTGACTACTGGAAGGCATATGGTCTGTATCAGAAACTAGAGTTGATGTGGTCTATCCAATGCAATTTTCTGAATCAGCACACCAAATAACCAAACCAAATCTAAAGTTGACCAAAAACAGAGTCGTAACCCTTTTGGTACTAATGTTGGAGAATGGTCCCTGGTCAAAAAAGGTTGGGAACCACTGCTTTGTAGAGTTGGCACCACTGCTTTACACACTGCCAGTAGCTGCCCTATTTGCTCAGCTAAATTTATCAGCACATTTATTTCAGTAGGGCTTTCATAGGAACATCCCAACAGATTTTCTCAAGCTTTTCGCTTTGTCTCCCTTCCGCTTGTGTCACTTTGAAGTCTAGAAACACTGAAAAACTTAATTGAAACAGCCAAACATCCACTCTGCAGCACTCTTCTGGCTTTGATAAAGACAAATGCATTTTGTCGAGTTCTAGGAGGCAATACAAAAAAGAGTTTCTGTTTGATAATTATGTCTTCTGAAGGCTGTTCACACAAGTCGGTTGCGGAAGCTGTCTTTAAAAAGTGTTTCCAAGAGATGAAAGCGTAACTGCTATTAATATTATGTGCTCTTACAAAATTAACTGCAGTCAATGAGACGGAAGAGTGTGTTCTTGTCTTAGGAAGTTGTGTGTATTTTTTTTATAAAACCACAGAAGGAAACTAGAAGTTAGGTATGAGTTCATCAATAAATGGTAGAATTAATGCACATTGACCCCATTCAATGCTTTGGAGTTGTGGGAGTTGTAGTTTTACGAGGATTTCAGCCTTCTCTACCAAATAGTGCTTATGCCTCACCGAACTACAAATCCCAGGATTCCATTGAGCCCCCGATGGTAGCGCAGTGGGTTAAACCCCTGTGCCAGCAGGACTGAAGACTGACAGGTCGCAGGTTCAAATCTGGGGAGAACGCAGAGGAGCTCCTTCTGTCAGCTCCAGCTCCTCATGCAGGGACATCCCACAAGGATGGTAAAACATCAAAAAACATCCTGGTGTCCCCTGGGCAACGTCCTTGCAGACGGCCAATTCTCTCACACCAGTAGCGACTTGCAGTTGCTCAAGTTGCTCCTGACACCACAAAAAAAAACAACTGAGCCATGGCATTTGAAGTGGTGTCAAACCACCATTAATTCTACAGTGTAGAGCCAGCATAGGTTCTGTTTCACCTGGAACTGCGTTATTCTTTTTCCTTTTTCTGAAAAGGCAGATAACAGGGCACTCCATACATAATTTTGGAGAAAGTTCTGAAGATATCTATCTATCTGAATATATGTTCCTGGACTTAGCATAGAAACAGGAAACTGAATAACAGCTGAGTGATTTCTTCCAGAAGTTGCCCTGGAGGACCCATAAACTCAAAAAAACAGCCATTCTCTCTAGGAATTTGCTGGGTCCTACAGCATGCCTCTATCCCAGCTTCTGGCACATCATAGAATCACCTGAAGGAACCTAACAAATTCCTGAAGACGACAAATCTCATTAGATATGAGTAGGTGAAACGATGGGTAACATTCCCGCTGCTACAAGGATTATAATGGATTCTTCCTTTATATCAGTGGTTCTCAACCTGTGGGTCCCCAGAAGTTTTGGCCTTCAACTCCCAGAAATACGAGTTGGCAAACTGGTTGGGATTTCTGGGAGTTGTAGGCCAAAACACCTGAGAACCCACAGGTTGAGAACCACTGCTTAACATCATCTTCCCTCTTCTGTTCTGGAAAAGTAGATAAGGTCTCCAATACTGATTAGATAAGGTCTCCAATACGGCTACTACAATCCAATATTTCACCAAAGTCTGGACTACTTTAAAAAAGTTCATTCTCAAATTTGCAGATGGAAATGTGTTGTCAGGAATTGAGTGGAAAGACTAGCCAGCAAAAGTACCTTCACAGCACATACCTAGCTGCTTATACAAGCTTCCAGAAAATGTATGGCTGCTACATAGCTCCATGTATCATTGATGTCCTTATGGGAAACCCAACAGAAGAACCTTCCAAATGTTGGATGCTAGCTTTTCACTTCATTCGTACTCTTAACACAGAATAATGAGTAACTTCCTTGCTGGAGGATCTGAGCTTACTCTATCCAACATGTCCAGAATTGAGAATTTTTCTATTCCTATCTCCCATGGCATGGAAATACTGCATCCCAAACCCCCAGAGATATAAATCAGGGAGTTTGAGGGACCACAAATTGGAGCTCACCAGCAGCAGATCCAGATGATTTACATATTTGGATTCTTCTTCAGCTCCTCTTCTTCAGAGCTAAAGCTACACACTCATAGTTTGTGTTTGACTCAGAGAACTAGGAGTTGATGAAAGGAATTGCTGGTGCCACCATATAATTCTTGCCATAGATATGCCTATTGTGTTGGTTTGGAGCAAACAGGACAAACATCAGGAGGAACCTGATGGAAGGATCTCTTTCTTCATGCAGAAGAATTTCAGAAACTTGCCCAGTCTCCTACTGTTTGTGCCAAAGGATGACGTTTGCCAAAAGGATTTGGTCCTAAGGATCTGGACCATTTTGGCTTTGACTGTTTGATTAGTCAGATATTCAAACTTTCTGAAATGGAGAAAGATAGTTTTGTGTGCTCTTATTTGTTAAATGAATCTTATTTCCAAATGTTTGTGGATAAGGATTGATCTCTTTGTCTATCATTAATACTAATGTGGGGAAAATTTTGCTGATAAATAAAATAAAATAGAAACTTTTGGAGAAGTTGTTTCTGGAGAGATTGGAATGATCCCTGCAGGAAACTCAAATAATATGTCAGGTTGATGGAGTCACAATGCAGACTTTTCAAGGCTTGCTTAACTGTTGTGGTCCTTTCTGATTTCAGAAGTTCCTTTCCAAACTGCCCTTTGACAGATTACCTTTAAGGTTGCCAGACTGATAATGAATAATTCCTGTGCCTTGGATGGTTATCACTGGGGTGGCTTTCAGGGAACATACAACTCTGTTGCGTTAGTTCCGCTGGCTGCCGGTCTGCTACTGAGAACAATTCAAAGTGCTGGCTTTAACCTATAAAGCCCTAAATCAGTGGTTCCCAACCTGTGGTCTATGGACCACAAGATTGAAAATATAATCTGCGTTGCTTCAAAACCACGTGGCAACGAGAGTGACTAGTCTTCCGAAACCCTCTTATAGTGCCAAGGCAACAGGGATGTCAGGAGAGAAGAGGCCTGTGGTCTATGGACCACCAGTGGTCTGCAAGAATGAAAATAAAGTCTGTGTTGCTTGAAAATCACATGGCAATGAGAGCGACTAGTCTTGTGAAACCCTCTTATCGTGCCAAGGCAATGGGGATGTCAGGAGGGGAGAGACCTGTGGTCTATGGACCACCAGTGGTACACAAGAATTAAAATATAGTCCGCATTACTTTGAAACCACATGGAAACCACATGGTAAGAGCGACTAGTCTTGCGAAACCCCCTTATAGTGCCAAGGCAACGGAGATGTCAGGAGGGGAGAGGCTGACTACGAAAGAGTACTACTACCACATCAGCTCTAGATTATTGCATATGGTTTTCTGTGGGCAAAAAGATGGCAACTACTGGATGGGATGTGTTCTGTATCAGAAACTAGAGCTGATGTGGTCTGCCCAGTGCAATTTTCTGAACTCCAATATAACAAAACCCAAATCTAAAGTTGACCAAAAACTGATTCGTACCCCTTTTGGTACTAATGTTGAAGAGTGGTCCCTGGTCAAAAAAAGCTTGGAAATCCCTGCCCTAAACTGTTTCGGTTCATCTTACCTATCTGTATCTCCTTCCATGATCCACCTCGGAGCTTAAGACTGGGAAAGCCCTCTCTCAGTCCCACCTCCTTTGCAGGTGCAGATGTTGGGGACAAGAGATAGGGCCTTCTCAATGGTGGCCCCTTGCCTGTGGAATTCTCTCCCCAGCAAAATTAGATCAGCTCCCTTCCTCCTGGCCTTCAGAAAGAAATTAAAAACATGGTTATGGGACCATGCTTTTGGACTATAATTTCCAGTACAATAAGAGATTACGGAATATGCAATGACGACTGGAATGGCCTCGGATTCTGATTTTGGACTGTGTGGTTTTAATGACTGGTTTTAATGTTGAGATGTTTTAACTTTGTTGTTTTAATGTATATGCTATTTTATTGTATGTGTGTGATGTTGTATCGAATTGTGCCTATTTGAAAGGCCGCTCAGGGTGAGAAGGGCAGGATATAAATATAGTAAATAAATAAATAATGAAAAAACCCAAAATTTCAGCAAGTGTTGCTAGTCAGGTCACAAGCAGCATTTAGTAAAACTTCATTGTCTTAAGACCATTAAAGGTATAAGAACTCTTTCCAAATGTTCACTCTTACTATTAAGAGCAACCTAGTAGACATATATGGTCTTCTGCCAGCACATAATGGCCCCTCTGTTTTTGCAACCCAAGCAGGCAAAACAGAAGTTTCTGGATTCCTGCCAGGCTATTTTCAGATTCCTGGGTTGTTTCAGGTTGTGCAAAAATGTGTTTATAGCTAGACATTAAAATATTGGCTTGAGTCCTATTTATATGTCATACATGCCTAAGATTCCCTACGGAAGCAGTTTGTCTAGTGTAGAATGGCCATAATCCAGCGGAAGAAGTGGATTGTAGAAGTGGAGTTGTACTTGCAGCCCCAATGAGTATTGCATGTGGATGTGCATTGCATAAAGTATGCCCATTCTGTATATGACCATGCATTCAGTGTCATGCCGTTGGCCCTTGGGATTGACAGTTAGATCCATGGATTTAACTGATCATGGCTTGAAATAACAACAACAACAACAACAACAACAACAACTGGAAAAACTGACACGATATGAGGATTTAAAGATCAAACTGCAAAGACTCTGGCACAAGCCAGTAAAGGTGGTCCCAGTGGTGATTGGCACACTGGATGCAGTGCCTCAAGACCTTGGCCTGCACTTAAACACAATCGGCACTGACAAAATTACCAGCTGCCAGCTTCAAAAGGCCACCTTACTGGGATCTGAATGCACTATTTGCCAATGCATCACATAGTCCTAGACACTTGGGAAGTGATCCATTACACAGCTAGCAGAGTGACCTTGTTTGCTATGTACTAATCTTGTTGTGTTTCTAATAATAATAATAATAATAATAATAATAATAATAATAATAATAATAATAATAGATATGCCTGGCAGGTTGTTGATTAATTGAAAGGCACATGAAGTTGGGAAGACCTAAAATAGCTAAGAAGGGAAGAAAGGAAACTCAGGCACTGATTCTTGCAAGATGGGCTCTCCTGAGTAGACGGCCCTGCTGCTTTTCCAAGCCTCTAAGATATAGATTGCAGGTAGAAACAAACAGGTGTCCTGTTGTTGGCATTCACTGTGTATGTATCCAAAACCAGTGGTGTTTAATTAAGGATCAGTTTTCATCTTCCTTAACAACAGTTCGTAAATCCTTGCAAGGGGGATTGCAGGTAGTAGGCATGTGCAATCCATGGTTCTAAAGTACTTACAAAACTAAAGTTCTGGTGGTGAACACTATGGGGCACTGGTGCTTTGCTTCCACAGTGTTGCTGAAGTTCTGGTGGTGAAAATTTCAGAACTTGAACAAAACTTTCAAAATTTCATTATTATTTTGTTACTGGCGATTTTTATGGCAAAACCAATTAGGAACTGCCATTCATAACGAAATTTTGAAAGTTTTGTTAGAGTTCTGAAATTTTCACCACCAGAACTTTAGCAACACTGTAGAAGCAAAGCACCGGCGCCCCCTAGTTTTTACCACCAGAACTTTAGTTGTGTAAGTACTTTAGAACCACAGATTGCCCATGCCTAGCAGGAGTAAACAGAGCCATAGATGTCAACATTTTTTTAGAAGACGGGGAATCTTGGAATCTTTTTCTTCCAATAGCTGCTTATGTATATATGGAGGTCATACCATGGATTTAAAGGACTGACTCACAAATAGACAAGCACAGTTTTAAGATTGGTAGGGCAGAGAGAAGAGTCTGCAGCGGATTGTAAAACCTGGCCAGTTTTGTAAGCGATAATGAAGTCTTTCAAATATTCTCTCCATCCCTACTTATGGATGGAACCTAACTCTCTCTCTTTTGCCTAGTTGAGTGCCTATTGAAGGGTGCTGGTTCTGGTTCCAGCAATCTATATCAGAATCACAACTGAAATATATTGTAAATCTAACTTAAGAGTGGATGAGCTGGGTTCTTAAAAAGCAATGGCCATAAACCAGTAATGGGGATATCATAATAATAATGAAGGCTGCCACGAGAGGGTGCCCTTGAGTGTCACCTGAATGTTAAGCTCTTGCAAGAGAAGGATCACAGAAGGATTTCTCACATCTTATCCAAAAGAAAGCACAAATAAAACCACACAGCAAGACTCCAAGTGAGAGGTGTTTCTTAAATGTCAGGTGTTAATTGAGATAAAGAAAAATGGAGAAAAGAAAGGGTTGACCAGGCATGGGCAAACTTGGGGGCTTCCAAGTGTTTTGGACCAGCTATTAGGAATTGGGAGTTGGGGTCCAAAACACCGTACTTGATCTAGACCAGTGCTTCTCAACCTGTGAGTCCCCAGGTGTTTTGGCCTACAACTCCCAGAAATCCCAGCCAGTTTACCAGCTGTTAGGATTTCTGGGACTTGAAAGCCAAAACATCTGGGGACCCACAGGTTGAGAACCACTGAGCTAGACTAACACTCCAATTTTTAAAAAGTGTTGTGCATGTTTGTGCCTTCACGTTGCTTTATGGTAACTCCATGAAGGTTGTTTTGAGGCAAGGTATACTCAGAGGGGGCTTTCCCAGTTCCTTCCTGGGAAATACAGCTAATAGCCCCTGGAATTTGTTGACAGTCCCTTGTCCAAGTACTAACTAGGGCTGTTCTTGCTTAGCTTCCAAGATCAGTTGCCTTGGTGGTGCTTTCAGATATTACCCAAGCCTATTGCTTCCTGCTGGGGGTTCTTTTTTCACACCTTATAGGTGGCAACAGGCCTGCCTCTGGAAATGATCAATGTAGACACATATAAGATTTAATGTATTCCTATAATGCAGTTTTACTGCATTCAACTGCAATATATGAGACTGTACTGATCATATAAGGCAGCATTATATGGCAATGTACATGGCACCACAGAGTCCGAGTGTGGTGCTCACCCTCTCCCCGGATTCGAACTGCTGGTCTTTTGGCCAGCAAGTTCAGCACTTCAAAGGTTTCACCCCCTGTGCCACCAGAGGCTCCTGTATTGGTTTACGTTGCTGTTTATTCATTCAGTTGCTTCCGACTCTTCGTGACCTCATGGACCAGCCCACGCCAGAGCTCCCTGTCGGCCGTGGCCACCCCCAGCTCCTTCAAGGTCAAGCCAATCACTTCAAGGATGCCATCCATCCATCTTGCCCTTGGTCGGCCCCTCTTCCTTTTTCCTTCCATTTTCCCCAGCATAATTTTCTTCTCTAAGATTTCCTTTCTTCTCATGATGTGGCCAAAGTACTTCATCTTTGCCTCTAATATCCTCCTCTCCAATGAGCAGTCGGGCTTTATTTCCTGAAGTATGGACTGGTTGGATTTTCTCGCAATCCAAAGCAATCTCAGAACTTTCCTCCAACACCACAGTTCAAAAGCATCGATCTTCCTTCGCTCAGCCTTCCCTAAGGTCCAGCTCTCACATCCGTAGGTGACTATGGGGAATACCATTGCTTTGACTATGCGGATCTTTGTTG